GACGACCCCGTCTCCCTCTCCAAGTCCACCAGCTTCGCGGACGTCATGGACATCCTCAAGGACATGAACCGCATGAAGATGAGCAAGGACAGGTAGGTGCTGACCTGGGGCTTGAAGGAAATGGGACCTGACCAGTTCACTGCTCTTGACCGCTGCCTTTTTTCTGTATCCAGATACAAATGTCTTGGACTGTAATAGAATATGTTATTTATCATCTCTCTTCGTTAGCCAATTAAAGAGTGGCTTGTGCTAAAGCTCTGTTGGAAAATGAATAAAAAATACCCAGCTTATGATTCCCACCCCTCAGACATTGTAAATGCATTGATAATTCAAAGAGCTCTGTGCTTTTGCACAAAGAACTTGTGTACAGCACAGTGAGTACAGTTTCCTCACTAACGTATCTGAGCTACAAAGACCAACAGAGTTCTTGATGCATCAGGGAAGTCAGGCTAAGTCTAGAGATGGTCTAGGCTTGCGGTGGTGATCTGTGGGGTGTAGTTTAACACTGGCGGACACAGCCGATACCACCTGGATCGGAGGAGCTGGACGCGGTGGCTGATCTCCTGATGCGGCGTCTGCCTGTCTGGCTGCAGGTTCTCTCGCGGCTGCACCTCCTTGCGGGACGAGGACTCGGCCTCCCTCATCTCCGAGGCCCTGAGGAAGAAGTTCACCCTGAGGGACGAGGACGTCCTCATGAAGGAGAAATAGCCCCCTGTCCCGCCCGCGCTCACAGTGACCCTGCCCCATCCACGTGAGTCTGCCTCGCCAAAACCCCGCCACCGAGAGCTTACTCCGTGAAGATGAGCCTTGATCTCCTGCTGCCCCCCTCGTTCACTCTTTAACTAAGCTACCACAAGAATAAGTAACTGGTTTTTATCATGCTGAAAAGAGAGAGAGGAATCTCAACGTTTCGGCTGTGGAGCCTTCTTCAGGTGTACTTCGGGTGACACCAGAAGAAGGCTCCACAGCCGAAACATTGTTTCCTTTCTCTCTTTTCAGCATGGACTAAACCTTTACTTGTTCCTTTGCAGACTACGCATGCTGACGCAGCTACCACCTGAACGACCACATGAATATGTAGCTTCCTCGCTTGTTTGCTTCTGTTCATGAGCTGGCTGGTCAGGCAGCAGATATATTAACCATTCTCAAGAATTTCATGACGTGCTGGAGAAAAATGCAGTTTAATTTTTGAACATTACTCAGATGGGTAGTGGACACAATGGTGGCGCAGTGGGTAGCACTGCTGCCTTGCCGTGCTGGGGCCCTGGGTTCAGTTCCCAGGTGCTTTCTGTGTGGAGCTTGTGTGTTCTCCTCCTGTTTGCATGGGTTTCCACCAGGAGCTCTTTTTCTGAGAAAAATGGCTTCTGAGAAAAATAGTTTCTGAGACAATTGACCCTGGTGTGAGTGTGCGCTGTGTGATGGACTGGCATCCCATCCAGGGTGCACCCTGCCTTGCGCCCGTAGCTTGCTGGGATAGGCTCTGGCTCCACCATGACACTGTATTGGAAAAAATGGTTAGAAAATGGATGGATGGTTAAAATTCCTGGCTAGTTTTAGCCATTTATTTAAGGAGAGAGGGTGCTGTTCCTTGAACAATCTCAAAACTCGATTGTCGGCACTGGGCACAACTCGGCAAAAGTTGCCCTGGAAAGTGATTGCTCTGACAAGTGGCATTTCATTTTGCGTTTTATGGGATGTAGTTAACTCTTAGGAAATTTAAAGTGTTTTAATAAAGAGGGGAGGTCTAAAAGGACCGACTACTCACTGTCTGCCTACCCTGCCTCTGTTCTCAGGCTTGTGCCTGTGGACTGCATTCCCTAGGAACCCTGAGAGTCAGACTGTGCTGCAATGCTTTCCAGTACGAGTCCCAGGCGCCAGCAGAGCACAGTGCGGTGCCGTCACCCGAGCCACACCAGCTCGCTCACGTCGCCTGAGAAAGACTCATCAGTCTCATTCCATTCCCAACTCCCACGCGCAACCTCCCTCTCATCGCTCCTGACACGCCGCAAGGAAAGCTGCTGAACCAGCTGCACTGGAGGATGGACATCACATTTCCATTGTAGGGGGTCCATCAGAGTGCCGTCTTGAAGAACGGACGACCTGTCCTTTTTCCCCTTGCGGATGCCACTTTCACGATGGCACCCTTCTGTCCGATCCACTGCCCCGGCTGGGATTGTGCATCTGGTTCCTAGTCCTGTCCTGCTCATACCACTCCACACACAACCCAGTTAGGAAGCAGGACTGTTGCTGGTTTCAGAGCTGAGCTGGTGGAAATTGTGGTCCTGTGCTGCAATTCTGGAACCCTGTTGTCCCATTTTCTTCAGTCCAGAAAAGTCCAACTTTTCTACTCATCACCGGATCATGGTCCATCTTGGCTGCAGAGAGTTTGGAGACCCTGTGCATCTCGACCTGAATTTGCTACTTATGAAACTTTTCAGTTTGCTCTCATGGCATGCACTGGAGCGAGCAGTGATGAATGCTTTTTTGTCTTAGTTTACCCAGATTGATGTGCAAAGACAGTGCAAACTTCAACCATAAAAAGGCTGTCAAAAAAGAAACAAATGCACGTACACAAACTACAGTAGATTATTTCTCTTTGTTCCACTTGTGTATGCTCTTTTTGTGTTAAAAGAGTCAAAACCCAGTCTGGATTGTTCCCAGTTTCCTAATTTATGTTTCCTAGAGACAGATGAAGCTATTTAGCAGTATTTAGACCTCATGCCTGTTTGCTTTTGTGAACCCCAAAGTTTTATTAAACTGCTTTTTAGTTTTTGTTCAGTTTTTATGGGCTTCAGTTGCTGATAGCACGGCTGTGATACCGATAGTGGTTTTACAAAGTAGGAGCACATTGTCGAATGTGTGAAAATGTGAAACCTTCCAGGTGATGAGTGTTGCATTATGTCAGATGTGAATTGCGTTTGTTTGTAAAGCGTCAGATGCAAGGAATGAAGACCCTTTGACTGTGTCAGGTTTTTTAGTGGGAAGCTGTGCAGAAGAAGCCTTTCTGAATCCAACTTTATCTGTAGTGGAGTACAACTAAAACCAGAAGGGACTCTGTTTTAACAAAAGGTTTTTGTATATGCTTTTTTAAGAAAGAAAACATAGGTAATATTTCTCCTAATGAAAAGAACAAGAAAAATGTTCCTTTGCCCTTTCTGTCCTTGCAGTTCTTGCAGGTTTGTCCCACTTTTTGTTTGAGTCTAGAATTACTCATTTATTTTTGCTCATCTTAACTTTTTTTTTAACCTTTTTGTTCGGTTATGTCAGTTATTGTTGCCTCAACAATGTATTTCAGCAGTGCTTTTTCTGTTAAGAAGAAGGTGATGAGCTCGGAACACACAATTGCAGCTGATTTGTGTTCTTTTCGGGCAGTACTCTTGTTCTGATGTGAGCTAGGTGCTTGTCACGAAGTGCACTGTTCCAAACGTCTTGTATTGGTGCTCCTAAAAAGAACGTTAAGGTAGCTCTGTTTTTTATTTGCTAGTGTGTGGATCATCAGTAGAGAATGTCTGATGTGAGAGATGAGCAGTAATCTTGTTTTTTGTATTATAAATAAGTTGTTTTTTAATGTGCATTTTTTCTGCCCTGTCTTGAAGTCCATTGGTGCCACATTTGACTTCTTGAATCTGTAAGGACTAGACCACAATCTCAGTGCAAAGATAACATTTAGTAAAACATGTTCTGTACACATTTTCTATCGCTGGCATAAGGATTCGCTCCTACCTTCTCCAGTGGTTATTCAGAACTGTTTAGTATAATAAGTGGTAATCTATGCTTTTATACATGGTTATCTTTTGGAATTGTATTGAACACTAACCTACCCTCGCAAGTGGTAGCTCAGAATTCTAGTGAACTGTTTTAAGAGGCGTGGCTTGAACTACTTATTTCTGCAAATCCACATGCTTCTGTAGAGCTGCAGAAATAACTATTCTTGTACTTTGTCTTAAATTATTTAATTTACAAGAGTCAAACAAGTGTACATTGACAAACGGTTTTGATTGCGTTTATTAGTGCATGACATTGGAACTGGAGAGTGTGGATACTTAAATCTGTGACTGCACTTCATGTCTTTTTTATGCGGTGTTGAAGTTAATATATATATTTTTTCCTGATTGATACGGTTGTACTACTGTAAAGACTGAGAGGTTGAATTTTCTTTTCTGAAGATACCCTGCATGACTTTCTAAGAATTTTCAAAGAGGTGTAAAATCCTGCTTGACTGGAGCAGGTCTCTACCCTGGTTTTGGAGGACACCTGTCTCTTCTGCTTTCTGTTCCAGTCAGCGGCTTCATTTCCGAAGCTAATTGATCTCTTTAAAGAGACCCCCACCCCCCTCCTCAGCTGATCTAGTTGCTGCTACATTTGCCTGAACCACTCTTAACTGGAGTCTGATGAATGATGTCCAGACAGTGCATCACACACGTTTCCAAAAAATAAATAGTACTGCAGAGTGACAGATGACACCCTTGGGTGGGGGCAGTCCTAGGGCTCTGCACACACAAAGTTACTATGGCTGTCCGTTCACTTTCAATATGCCTTTTTTGCAGATGTTTTACAATTAAAAAGCACTGTCATGCAGCTTCCCCATGACTGCAGTGACATTACCAACGGCCATCTTAACAGCAGAATCAACACTAACCCCCCCCCTTTGAAAATGCCGACTGTTGAACTAGTTAGAGGCCTATTGGCGTCCTCTAGTGGCTGGTAGCTGTTACTGCAGTCTATTTGCTCCCTCACACACGAACTCACGGAGGTATGAAACCTAGAAACAGTAGCTGCGCTGATATTAATAAGAAACTAGGGCTCACTTGGCATCAGTGATTTAACCCCTTTATTGGGATGAAAAGCTGAAGGCACAGGGGTGTCCCAGAACCAAGGTTGCAAACCTGTGGACCAGATCAGGGTTTCCCCAACTCCAGTCCTGAGGTCTGGATTTATCTGAATATATATATTCAACATCTTAAGGGCATGGAGAAGGGCTATAGTGGGCCAGTTCAAGTGTTAACACTTCTCCCAGTGAAGACCTGTACCTGTGTGTAATGGAAGAAGACTCTCGGGTTGTGAGCCCAAGTACCAGAGCTATGAGTGCTGAGCATATTACAACTGGCATGTGCCTCTTTCTAACTAGAATAAGATCCTACCTTTCTTTAATCAGCATGTGAGTTTTGCCAATATTTTCTCGGTTCAGAAGCTGCCTAAATTTCCATATCTGTACCGCAAACCACAAATGATCAATGTCTCTGTGACTAACGGACTCCCAACATTTGCTGTTCTTCCCTGGTTTAAAGGTTAATTCCCCTGTTCCACTACATTCTTGCTGAATGAAATAGAATCGGTGTGATGGGTCATGCATTTGAAAGAGAAATAAAGCTGTGCTGGTGTTTTAAACAAGAAGCAAGTCTGCATTTTTTCTTAAATTGGAGTCGGGTATTGGTATTGGGAGCAGACTTTTTGAGTACTTTTACTGCCTTTTCTTTTATGCAAGAATTTGGGCAATAATTTCACAAGCAAATTTAAGAAAAACATTCTAAAATCAGATAGCTTTTAAGCATTCAGGCAGCCGTACAAAAAGCGAATACGAACCTTACAATGAGACTTATAATAGATAGATAGATACTTTATTGATCCCGTGAGGGAAATTGCAGTGCAACAGCAGCTTAACACACACAACACAGCCACAGTGTCACAAATTATATAATAATAGTAAAATACATACAATACAATACAAGAGTTACTCACAGTCCGGACACACAAGAGCAAACTAGAACAGAACAGTACACAGAAAATCATATCACACGTATGAATATAAATATAGATGTAACCATAGATATATAAATATCAATATAAATGTATTGCACAGATCCCTGGCATATATTGCACAAAAGTGGTTGTAAACGGGGAAAAAGAAAAAGAAAAAGAAAGAGAACAGATGTATCAGTAGATGTGTATATGCATTTAGTGAAGATCTTTGTGATTTTGTATCCCAGAAATAAAAGGATCCCACATGTTTCGGTACAAATCCTTTGCAAACTTGGGATTTTGGGGTGAAGGGACATATACCTTGTTGATTCCTGAACTTCAAATGAGGATGCATTTAACATGAAAAGCTTGGAACAGGTTAACCAGATGACACTGGATGACCATGAGGTGGCAGTATAATCTAGTGAGGTCAGCCTTTCGCACTACAGGAAGCCCATTGTGAGGCCTGCAGGTCATAATGCAGCTTACTGCCTGACTTAGATTGACTTAGCCAAACTTAGCATGGAAACAGATAATCACATGCAGACACAGACAGGAAACAAAAGCAATCGACCTTTCCAAAAATACCTCTCCCAGACCACCTGACTGTGGCATTACATGTGACCGTCTGCCCAATCCACTTAGTGAACTCTGTTCACAGAAGACAAAAGCTTAGGCTGCAGTAAAGAATTTGTGTAAAAGGTAGAACGAAGAATTTGGAAGGTGGATTTAGGGTGGCTCAGTGGTGCAGTGGTAAGTCCTGCTGCCTCGTAGCACTGGGGCCCTGTCTGCATAGTGCTGGCTTCCTCCCACAGTCCGAAGACATAGTGCTAGGCAAATTGGCTTCTGGGAAAATTGGGCCTGGCGTAAGTGTGTGCAACTCTGTGTCTGTGTGTGCCATGTGATAGACTTGTGTTCTGTCCAGGGTATCTCCTGCCTTGTGCCTGTTGCTTGCTGGGATAGACACTGGCTCCCCTGTGAACCTAAATTGGGAAAAAGAGGTTAGAAAATGGATGGATGGAAACTGGGCTTGTTCGCCTGAACTGTTTGGTAACCTGAAACCAGGACAGGTGGAATTTGAAACGAGTTTTAATAAGGAACCGAGTCCTGATCCTTAATCGTGTTTGGGACTGAATTCTAGTCACACCCGGATCAACAGAATTGGACATAGAGTGACTGGAGAGTGTGACTGCACAAATGAAGAGAAAATAATCTCGTCCTGTTTAAATCTCCTTTTCTCATCAGTCAGTGAAAGAATTTGATTACTTTCTTCAGTCAGGGCCCATTGTAGCTTGCCCAGCAAGGGGGCAGCTCGATTCTTAAGCTTATGGCTTTTTTAATGACCAAGAAATCGGGACATCACTCTCATGATATTTTTAACCTTGTGCGTGACATCAATGGAACTTGGAAAACATTTTTTTCAATACCCCCAATAAGCTGCATGGCCTTAGTTTTCATTTTAATTTAATCAGAAAGACTGCAGATGAGCAGTGGTTAGTGCACACATCTTGTTTGTCTGGTGGTTAGTAGCCTGTTGATCTGAGTAAACCTTAAATCTGCATTTTCCTGGGGAAACCAGGAATCTTTCAATGCCTTCAAAGCTGTAAAACCTGGCATCTTTGATGATTTTCACAAGCCATTGCAAACATTTAGAACAGCAGCTTGTTCAGGTAGCTTTGACAAGGTACCTGCGAAGGACCACTTCAGTTTCAGAAAGAGAGGTGGCCCTGTCAGAGGTGACATTGGTAATGTGCTTCCCTGCCTGCAGGCTGAGTGTAACTGAGAGGCAGCTGATCCTGAGTAAAAAAAAACAGAACAAAACATCAGATATTAACAATGCCTGAGCACAATGAGGCACATTTGTTTTGCCCAGAATCTACTGTTGTCCCCAATGAATCTTGTCCCCACTGTCTGTATTCTTCAGATGGTGCTTGAAGAATCCAAATTTGATTATTTGTGCTTCGGCTGTGAACCATGTACAGTATGCCTGCCTAGAGCTCCTTGTGTCTATGTGCTGAGCAGCCTGGAATGAGAGATCAGGTGATGATGACACTGTGGACACTTACTAGCTAATCAGATTGCTGTTTGGGCAGCAAGGAGACTGTCAGGAGCCCTGCAGCTGTGAAACACTAACACTGAGGTAATTATGGAAGATGTCCAAAAGCAGTAAAATCCACAGGTCCAGTCCACTAAACACCTCTCTCCCAGACGCACATCTTCTGGGACACTAGTGTGTTTATGGGACTGCAACGGTCAAACAAAAGTTAATCTGTTCACTAGTGAACCCAAAGAGGTGATCTGGTTTTGTTTTTCAGAAAACACATATTAGCATAAGCATTGAATCCTAAACAGAAATAAAAAAGTTGTTTTCATGATGTGTGTATCTGTAACTGATGTTCTAGGCAAGACCAAGAATGCCTTTTCACCCAGGAAATCCAGCTGTCCAGTGAGTAAGAATCATTACAATCCTGTTATATGATGCTGTTCAAATCCCTTTCAGTTTACCACAGTCTTGCCTCACTTTTGTATGCCGACGTTTTTATTTATACTGTTGCACTGCTGTTCCATAACAGGCTCATATGAGGCTTAAATTCCGGGCACAACACCTCTTCTCATGTGTCCTCACAGGAGCTCATTAGAGCCAGAGAAGGTGGTGTTTTCAGGTGTGCAGTGTTCCGAAAGAGTTCTGAGTTGTATCCCACTGGTATGTCTCCAAATAACAATCCTCCTGCAACCTAGGAACATTGGATTAGCAGCCGAGCTGACTGCTGCATCTGTCAATGCCTTCCTGAAGAGCCTCTTTCAGAGCTGCTCCCTCTCACCTTCAAAGCCAAGAGGTGCTCCACACTGTGTCTCCCTGTGCAGTCCAGATGTTCTCTGTCTGATTGTCCTATACATCAGTGCCAGGTGGCTGTGTGCATTCCTTTACTCATGCAGGTGCCTTGGCAGCATAGGTAGAAAATGTTCTGAACCAGCTAGCTTGTTTGCCAAGTTGCTAATGAAAATAAAATGTTCACAATACCTAAAAATGTCATGCAAAGCTTTTTAAAAAACTTTTTTAAAAAAACAGTAGGCACTGTTGGGGATATTTGTGCATCCCTAAATCTGAGGTAAGCCCACCTCACCTGGTGATAGATGAGCAGAACATGGCCCCACTGTAAGCTGAATTTTTTGTGTCAAAGTCTTACATTTCCACTACCCTCTCTTACAGCTTGTCTGTTAGGTCTGGTTGGCGGAGATCAATGCAGTGGAACAAGAATTAAATCAGGGATGCTTTTAATTGATCATCCTGATTGATCTTCTCTAATGAGACTTAGTTGTTTTTGGATCAATCTTCTTGTGGAATCAATTGAGAAAGCGAGTGAGTTTCCAGTCACGTTCGGGAAAGTCTCCAGTTTAACAGGAGGAAAACAAAAGGAAGCTCAGGAGTGTGGAGGAAGCAGACAAAGAGCTCTGGGATGGTTAATTGTTCTCAGTAACACTCAAGATGATTTTCTTTACTGTAGGGCATATAGACAAATACGTATATAGTTCTATTCAATTTTAAGAAACTGAAGTTTTCACAGCATGATTTAATGTCAGTTCTGCAGCAGCACAGTAAGGGACAGGTACTAACGTTTAGGTTTAGTTTTAGCAGCTATGAAGGGTTAAGACCCACTCACAAGAAAACAGTAATGGGATTTCAGGTTGTACGATTGACCACAACTGTTATGAAACGCCCACACATGTAAAGCAGGTAATATACTGTCCTGTCTCAAAGCAAGTTCGTCAATACAGTTCATGGCATGAGCACAGCAGGCTGAAGAATGAGATGTGACCCTTCATATCACACAGAACTCCATGGCAATATTTTGGAAACTACAAGAGGCTGACGGCTTACAACACAAGATTTAAATTACCCACTGTCAGAATTTCATTCCAGCTGAAACAAAACAATGAATAAAAGTTAAATGGTTAATTTTTTCTACAATGCTGCACAGACTAAGGGGATGGTCATAGAAAGATGGAATGCAGACAGCATATTAGATAACCATGGGTCCACAAGGACAGTCTTTACTTGTTTTACATGGACCTCTGTTCTGTATGTGTTGATGTCATTGAATGCTTTTTAACTAACACTGAAAGATTAATAGACATTCTTGTTCTCATCAAGAGACATACAGTAGTTCTCTCCCTTCTCCAGGTGGTAGAAAGGAGTCTGTGCTTTCTAATGACTCAGCGCAACTCCTAGAAACCAAACCTTTTGTAACAGGTTGGATTTCATTTATTTAAGGACCCTGGCTGTGCTCCCCTCAGTCATAGGGCCACCCAGCTCAGGAACCTGGCTACGATCATCTCTGCAAACTCTCACCAGGGCGGAACGGAGGCGTGCACTCTGCTGTCCTCTGGGGTTGGGTAAACGAGTAAACGAGGACGTGGTCAGAGAGCACTGGCCTCACAACGGGTCCCTTGTTGGGCCCAGCAATGACTTTCACGGGTCCAGACAAACAGAAAACAATTATACCAGCCAGAGAACAAATGTCAGCACTGAACAAGAGACAATTGTCAGGCTAATGTGGTGGGCACTGTGGGCCATGATAGGGTGTTCACCCAGCGAGTCTCAACAGTGATTGGCTGGAAACTGGGCAATATGTTTCCCAGGCTCCAGGCAACAG